TTGGGGAGTGCTGGGGTTTGAACCCAGGACCCCATGCAGGCTAAGGGTTCACTCTACCACTGAGCTACATCTACAACCCCCTAATTGTGCCTCTTTTAAACACTGTATAGTTGAGTCTTATTTTTTTTTCATCTTGTTTGGCAATCTATGCTTCTTGATATTTAGTCCATTAAAATATTAATTACTTCTGTAGCTGGTCTATCATTGGCCGAGACCCATGCAGCACCAACACCTTTACCGCAGGATTAGGGGCTCTTTCGTTCTCCACAATCAGTTTAATTTATTTCCTGTTTATCACATCTGGTTTTTGATCCTCTTTTCTTCTTTTAGATTAATAAAATATTTTTAAATTATTTTGTTTATCTTTTCTATAATTTCCTCTATTATTTAAATTTTATTTTATATTATCTATTAAGAAAAATATTGTTTTATCTTTTTTATTAATAAYCTATGGCTAGAGATTATTATATACACTCTTAGTACTATGTCTATGGAAGATATTACCTTCCCCTCTCCAGCTGTTAGGCTATGATCATATATTGTACTTGTACCTATGTTCTGTCTTCCTTTAAGACATTTATCCTGATGTTGGGTTTGGSAGTTTTCTTTCACATTTACCCAGATATTTGCCATATTTGGTACTCTTCATTCTTGAAGTTCTGGTTCTAGGATGTTCGTAATCATTTACCTTCAGCGTGAAGAACTTTCTTCTTTTTCTTTCACGCCAATAATGGGGATCGAACCCAACCATGGCTTTGCCCATGTTGGGTAAGTGCTGTACTACTGAGCTACATCCCTAGACCTCTTTATTTCTTATTGTGTTATGCGCCACTAATAAATTCTCTAAATATTTATTTATCTTAAAGCATCTTTATTTCATTTTTATTTTTTAACTAACTAACTTTACATACTGGGGATGCTCTACCACTGAGATACGTACCAGCCATTTTAATTTTTTATCTTGAGATAGAGTCTAAGTTACCCAGGCTGGCCTTGAACTTGTGACCTTCCTACCTCAGCCTCCAGAGTCACTGTGATTACAGGCATGTGYCATCATACCTGGCAAAACATCTTTATTCTGTCCTAAACATTGAAGACTATTTTACTACGTGTTAAGTCCTCATCTGGCAGTTTCTTTTCTGTTAACACTTAAAAAAAGTTCTTTTCACTTGTCTTCTGGTTTCCATGTGTTTTGTTGAAAAGTTAATTGTATGTTGCTTCTTTGAAGGTTCTTTTTCTTTTTTCTTTTTTTTTTTTTTTGTTTTAGCAATTTCACCATTACAGGCCTAAGTGTGTTTTTTTTTTTTTTTAAAGAGAGAGTGAGAGAGGAGAGAGAGAGAGAGAAAGAATTTTTAATATTTATTTTTTAGTTCTCGGCGGACACA